GCCCTGAACTCAACCAGAACCAGAGTCGCCCCAAACTCGGTTGGGGTTGGATCCATGTCCTGAACCCAGCCTGGACCCGAACACCTCAAACCCATCTGGGACCAGAAATATCCCCCAAACCCAACTTGGAGCACAACTGTTGTCAAAACCAGCCTTGACCTGAACCACCTCAAACCCAGCCTGAACCAGAGTCACCCCAACCTCAGGTGGAACCAGAACCCCCCTGAACCTGGCCAGGACCAGAAACCCCCTAAAATCCATCTGGAAACACCTGCCAGACCCAGCCTGGACCAGATGTGTCTACCAAACCCATCCCAGAGCCATTCCCTGAACTGAGACCAGAACCATCCCCTGCCTGGACCACAACCAGACACATCAGGGACCAAAATCATCCCCCGAACCCAAGTGGGACCAGTCACTCCAAGCCCATTCTGGACCAGAATCTCCCTAGACCCAACCAAGATCAGAACCAGAACCCAAGCAGGACCAGAACCATCTTAAACCTGTCCCAGTGTCATCCCTCTACCAAAGCTCCTCCTGGCCCCACGTGTCCACCTCGGTCCCATGTGTCCCTCTGTCCACCCACCGATACCTTCGCTCTGTGGTGGAGCTGAGACGGACGGAGACAGGGACAGGGGTCCCCTCCCTGATGGCGGTGAGGATGGTGGGCAGGGGCTCCAGCTCCTCCTGAGTGGCCTGCCAGGTCAAGACAAGGACGTTATGGGGACAATGTGGTGGCCTCGTGGTGGCAGCGGACACCAGCTCTGTGTGTGGAGACAAGGAGGTGGCTGGTCTTGCCAGCTACCCTTGGGGACAAATGAGTGGTGGCACCTGGTCCAGGCTGGAGAAGATGTCACAGAGCAGGAGGTGGAGAGTGGCGAGCTCCAGGGCCAGGTCAATGTAGCCGTCATAGGTGGCCATGTGGATGCTGCTCTCGGGGTTGGCCACAGTCTGCAAGAAGTCTGTCATGGTGCTCCAGTTGTGCTCCAGGAACTCATTCATGAAGCCCATGTAGGCCTCCTTCTCACCAAACCTGGGGACCACGATGTGCAGGTTATGGCCTGGGCCACCACCATGGTCAGGGGCCACCATTATGGTCGTGGGCCAGGCTGCCTCCAGGATCATGGACCAAGTCATTGCAATGTCCCTGCACCATGTCACCACCCTGTCTACAAACCAGGACATGGGTGAGTACGTTGCAATATTCTTGGACCAAGCCACCCATAGATCAGACCACCACAGGTGACACATGAGGCTCTGCTGCTGGGACGCATCAGCCCCGTGCATGGAGTGGAGATGTTCTCTGCTGCCCCATGGCTGGTTCATGGCATGTAGGAGATGTCTCTGCTTACCATATAGCATGTAGGGGACATGTCTGCTGCTCCATGGTGCGTTGGGGACAACCCTACTGCCCCATGGTATGTTGAGGACATCCCTACTGCCCCATGACTGTCCATGGCATGTGCTACACAGCGTGTCCCCACTGCCCCATGGCCTCCCCATAGACATGTCCCTCCCCACCAGTGCTGGTGCCGTGCCCTGCCATGACGTACGTGGTGAAGTTGGCCAGGTTCTGGATGACCTTGGCCACAAGGGTGAGGGTACGGGCAGTGGCCTCACTCGGATACTCCTGGACGAGGCCGAAGAGGCTGGGGGACATGACGGCAGGGCAGAGGAACCGTAGGAAGAGGGAGGCCGAGACCAGGCGCTGCCCGATGGGTGCCTTGCCCCGCGCCGCACACTCCTCCTGCCACGCCGCGAAGATCTCGCCCAGCTCTGCCGGGAAGGATCTGTGGGGAGAGACACCCTGATGGGTGCTGGGGCAGGTGGGTGGCCCTGCAGCCACTTCAGCAAGCTGCTTTGATGTGCTGTGGGACATGGTGCCCACCGTGCCTCTGCTTGTCCCCATGCCAGTCCACTGTGCTTGTCCCCAAGGTTGTCACCGGGTCCTTCCTGGTGCCCATCCCCATGTCCATCCCAGGGATCGTGCCCATCTTTGTCCCCACACTTGTCCCCAGGTCCTTCCTGGTGCCCGTCCCCATGCCCCTCCCAGGGATGGCGTCAATCCCCAAACTCATGTCCATGTCCATATCCATCGTGATGCCAGTGCCTGTCCTCCTGCCCATTCCCATTCCCATCCCCAAGCCCATCCCTGTTCCCATGCCCCTCTCCAAGCTTTTCCCCAGGTCCACCTGACGTTGGTGCCCACCTTCACGCCCGTCTCATTGCCTGCGCTGGTGTCTGTCCCCAAACCCATCCCTGTGTAGGTGTCCACCCTTACAGCCATCCCCGTGCCTAACCCCACGCCCGTGCGGGGGCTGTCCCTCACTCGCAGGACGTGGCGATGCGTTGGAAGGTCTCCTCGCAGACCTGCCGCAGGTTGTTCTGGTTGTCGGAGAGGTCAAGGCCGGTGCATTTACTGGGATCGACCTCGCAGCTATCATCCGAGGTGCAGAGCTGGGCCACGGCCTCACCTGGACACCAAGGGGCAGCCCATGAGGGGACCAACCAGCCACAACCATGGGCATGGCTGTGACAAGCCTCTACCACATCCCCATGGATGTTCTGGGGGTGTCCTACAGCCCCATGGTGCTTTGCCCATGCCCTGCACTCCATAACACCCCATAGCACCCCATAACTCCCTGTAGCACCCTGTAATGTCATGCCCAGGATGTTCTGCACCCCATAACACCCCATAATGTCCCACAAAGAACTGTAACATACCCAGCGTGTCCTGGAGGTACTTGCCCCCCACCAGTTTCATGTACTCATCGATGGCCTTGGTGGCCAGTGTGTTCTCACGGAAGATCAGTGCCTCACGGTCATCGAAGCGGTCCAGCTCGGCCACACCGAGGTCGATGAGGAATGACTGATGGGTGAATGCGTTGAAGGGCTCAGTGGGCACCCATGGCCCCAAATTGACTCCATCAACCCATCCTGGGAAGTGCCAGGATCTCCTGGCACTCCCCTGAACTGTGTCTCCCATCCAACCAATCCCATCCCAACTTTTCCATCCCATCCCATTCCAACCCAATGCAACTCATCCATCCAATCCAATCCCAACCCACTCATCCATCCCATCCCACTCCATCCCAACTCAACCCAACCCAACCCATCCCAACCCAACCCATCCATCCCATCCCACCCATCCCAACTCAACCCATCCACCCCAT